ACAGCTAGAAGAAACTATAGGACAGTTAACCCTGTGCTTCTTTCCTACCAAGCTGGTTGAATGTATGCGTAGACCAAGGACTTTTTCCTCCACAAAGGACATTATATGTTGGCAGTTTTCAGCCTAGACTTCGGCTGTTGCCCTACAAAATATTTTCTTTTCTCCATTGATTGCTTTTGCATACTGAGTATGCATTGACTATTTGCTGCCTGTCAATCTTCGATTCAAGCTTTTATTTTCAACTAATTAACTCTAACATAGCAACTATGAGCAATAAACCACTGAGTATGGGGATGATGTTGCTAATCCAAGGAGGAAGAAGAAATAACTCCTTTCAACATCTCTCCTTGCATGCTTTACAGCTTAGAAAATGGTAGACCTGAAGACCAGGTGACTTTCAATGTGTCCTGATTATAGGATGGAAAGAGAGCTCTGGACACCTCTCTAAACATGGGATGGAAAGAGAGCTCTGGACATCTATCTAGACCTCACATAACACACTACTTCCATTATATTTTAACTTATTGCTCTACTCCCAGTGAATGCCCCTTAGGCTAGCCAAGCTGAGAAGTCCATAAATCATTTTAAGAAGAAAAATAGGTCCATCCTTTCAATTTTACCAAAATAGACTGGATTAAGGCAGCATTTTTTGGAGGAACAGAATGGAAACCCTGCAAGTATCTGGCATAAGTATAGGGGCTGTTCATTATAACTAGGAGAGCTGGCATGAACACCTCCTTCTGGGACAGATCATTCCATTACCTCACTGACATTATAGCTAAGAAACATCTCTAGAGAGAATAGTTTGTGCACAGATTTGGCAGGAAGCAACAGAGCATTTGTTTCTACCTAATTCAGGTTGAAGTTCATCCTGTACTAGCAGCAACACTTTACCACCATCTTGTGCTCTGGTATGTAGCTGTGTAAAAGGAAATGGTGGTGTCCATCTTACTTCTCCAGTAGCATGTGCTTGCAATACAGAAGTTCTTCTGTAGAAGACAAGAGAACACAGCCCTAATTCAATACAAATTAACTGCACCTAGGAAATCAGCTCAGACGCAGAGATATGACAGGAGCCTTGGCAATGCTCCCTTCTTAAGGGGGGAAATGCAACTATGGAGGAGAATCTCAAAGCTGGCTAATTGTTAAAGAAAAAAGAAAACTCGAGTATTTTAAATAATTGCAGACCTAGCCATGTTACTGCCTTAATCCCAAATAATGCAAATTCACCTGAGTTTCCCTTTAGCTGAAGGGATGCCTCGCAGTACTTTTATCTACGCATTCCTCAACACTCTTTGATCCTTCTCTTTCTAATAATAACCCATGCTCAAAAGTGACAGAATATCTAAAGAACACTGTTATAAAGCACCAACCAGGTATATGGGAGATCAACAGCCACAGTATGGCATCTACTGAAACAGGGGCAGCTGAAGAACAATATCAGAAGGGTTAGTTCTCTGGGTAAGGGGTGACTGCCCAAAGACACCAAAACTCAGGAGCCCCTTCTCCTCATCACTCCCTTCCTCCACCACCTCCTCTTCATACACATCTGCAAAGCTCTATACAGCACACTCCTCAAGGGCTGCTGCAACTGCCATACTCATTTCCCACATCACTCCTTAAAGATTTCTTCTGCTTCTACAGCACGCTGCCCTCTGACACCTGCTTAAGATTTTGCTCCCTCCACACAGCTGATGAAGTTAATCAATTACCTGCTGATGAAGTTAAACCAGCTGACCGGGGAATCCAGGTTTTTGGTTTTTAATAGTAAATAACAAAGAGTTTTGACTTCAGCTGTAATTTATTTACTTTCCCAGTTCACCCTTGGTTCCTTTATCACAGTGAAGGCAGAGATAACGTATACCTGTTTTTTCCTGTGTTGCAAGAGTCACACTGTGTAACAGCACGTGTTACTTTTACAAACCACCACACTGATGCTTCCTATTTTCTGTGTCATTGTCTTTTTAAAATTAGGTCAATTACATTGGTTTTATTATTTTCTATAGACTATCCCAGTCCTTCCATCATACTCAAATGGCTTTAATGTATGTTGCCATCTGCACAGTCACCCTTCACCACCAATAACCCCGAAGCCAAGAATGGACCAGGCTGTACAACCTCTCTCTCATTCATTCTACTCTGTACTCTTGGCTTTACTGAGAGGATTAAACCTGAGCTGCACACTCTATATTCATACATCATTTGCTGTGCATTGATGTTGTCACCACAAATATTGGCATGCTGTCACAACACAAATATAAGAAAATAAGACTGGTTAGACTGAGAAAAAGATCCATCGAGGGCAGTACTCTGTCTCCAACAATGGCCAGAAGCAGATAATCAGGAAAGGAAAAGAACATGACAGGGCAAGCACACACAGTGCCTCTCCTAAGTATCCTCTTGGCTTCTATCTTTTGCAACTTGGGAACTTCAGCCAGAAGTCTACCAGTCTGGTATTCTTTTCCTAATGAATTCATCCAGCCTTCTCCAGAACTTTTTCCTATGCGTTACCTTGTAACACACGTAGACTGAATAATGCCACATGGTAAGTAAAATGAATACACAGTCAAAACGCCATTCAGAAACATTAGTTCTGGATAGAATCCCATTTTAAGTGTAATATTTATAAACAACATGATTTCTTTTTTTTTTTTTTTTAAATATCCATAGGGCAAACATCTGAACTAATCAAAACTATTTATTGCTGTCCAGATGTAAGTAAACATATTAGCATCATGAAAGTATTTTCCTTCCAAATTTTAGGTTGTACTTTTAGCCTCTCCAACTCTGATTCTTGTTTCATCAGAACTGTTGTCAGAACGACTCTTGTCCATGCTTCCTCCCACTGTCAGAAAACAAGGCAGAAGACAGCCCAGTTTCCTTGTGCTGGCTGGCTGGGCATCTAACACCATGCTCCTCTTTTCTTGGACAGCTGTATCAATTCCCCAGCCCTTCTAATCAAATACAGATAAAAATAACACAGATCTCTCCACGTTCCTCACAGTAACATTTAAACTGAAATATTTTCACTACTCAGTACTTCATTTTGCATGGGGTCTTGGATACCAGTTATCTCTTCAAGCAAGTTGTTACTAAACAAGCATCAACTTAATGCCCTTAATGAGATCTGTTACACTGGAATACTTACATTTGCCCAGACAAAAGGAAGATGCTTGCTGGAATTCGTTTTGAACTTCATGCCCAGTTTCTTACACTATAGCATGCATTTTCCTTGACTACTACTTTATACACTATTTATGTAAGGTCTTCCTGAAATGTTAATAATCCTCAGGTTATTAACTAATTATTAGTTTTCTCCAAATTCTCATTTTATTTAAATTAAACAATGCAGAATATATATGTGATGTCAAAATCACCTCAGATGTCGTGGGCCAGGATAATAAAATAGGAGGCATTACTTTTGGAGCAGTCCTTGTATAGTCCATCATTTATACAGTAAGACCATTAAATGTTGAACTTCAGTATGAACAGCAAGCTAATAGAACAGAAGAACCAAAGGATGGGCTGTGTACAAACAGTTAACCCAAGAGAGGTTAAGAATAGTTGCTAAATGTTCTATTTGTATTAGAAATTTACAACAGCTGTTAGCACAGAATTATACAGCCACACACATGGGAAGATGCACCTTATCTGGAAAACGTTGAGTCCATGTATAAAAACCATTAAAACCCCTGATTTATAGGAATGGTATTTCAGTAATTTCACCATTACACAGGTTTCTTTGTATGGGGACATTTAAGTTGACTCAGACTACAGCCAGCTAATGCAGGTAAGGTGCTCTGTAAGGCAATGTGCAAGCCTTACAGCCGACTGCAAAAATACTGCACCAAGCACCATGAGATCTTTTCCTTGGTGGAGCTTCGCAAGGCTGAAGACATTCAGCTCATTATGACATGGAGATAATGAGAAGTAGTCCATACGCGCAGAATAAGCAAGTCATGCAACCAAAAACCAGATTCTGGAATTTTCCAGAGCTGTCTTCCCAGTTTCACCCATTTTCCTTTCAGCTTTGGTAATCATACTTAACTGCTGTGAAAACAGTAAGGCTGAAGCTGCAAAGCACTGCACTGATGTAGGCTGCAAAGCATTTAGTAGAAAGCTGCTCAGAGAAGGAAGCAACATGATCATTGAGAGAGGCCAAGCAGCTGCAACCCAACAGCACTCAGCAAAGGAGTCTATTAATGCCAAACAGATGGGAAAAGAAGCACTCACTTAATTTAGCTTCACTTCTATTACAGGGTTAGAAGATCTATTATTATATCTCTCAAGAACCAGAATATGTAGTAACTAGTTACTGATCTATTAGATACATCTACCCAATAAAAACCATCTTAACAGGCAACTATGGTTTGTAACATCATCAGCTTGCTTTTTGCATAGTTTAGTAGTAGGCACAGCCTCATACCAGCCCAGCAGTTTCTGCCACTGCTGTACTATTATGAGAGATTACCTAACCAGAGGTGGTCTCTTATTCTTTACAGCCTGCTTCAGAGCTCTTTTAGGATAATCCATTTTCATTTCTCTTTCATAGCTGGAGACCACAAGGTGTCTAAGTGTTCTCAGACATAAAGCAGGCTGTAGTAGCTTCACCCAAGGTTTTCACCAGAAGCAGCACAACCACCAAGAGAATAAGTGAAAAAGAAGTCAGTTTAAGATAAACTTTGGCAGTAAGCAATAACTGCATGCTCTATTTTTTCAGGATTACTACAGTAGATTTGAAAAGCTGAGACTTCTTTAAACTGACTTTGTTCTCTACAGTCTCCAGTTTCTTCTGCGCTATCAAGCCTAGATGCAGTACACCACGACTGCCACGTTTTCCCACAAGGGAAATAAAAACAAATAATGTCTTTTTCAGGATCGGCAGCTTTGACAACTTACTGGTGTGCAGGAACCAGAAGCAATCCATGAAAACACAAAGTTTTTACTTTTTGAGTCTTTTATGTGTAGGTCATTGGTAAGGAGCAATGATCTCATCCTAAATAATGTGAGTGAGAACAGAAACAGCCAAGTTGTTGTCAGGGTTATGATAATCTTGAAATATTTTTATTCAGCAGAACAAATCATACAAAACAGACACATTTGACTTCCAGAAACCTGAAAGTAGTTAGACAGGATCAGACAAAACTAAACTACAATGAGTCTTCTTAAAAAGTCTACATAACATACTGAGTTTAACACTTTCATTAGATTTTAAAAAAATAATTAGATCATATATACAATAAATCTGTTCGGAATGGATTGCTGTTGTTTACAAATGAAAGCATTTTACCTGCGGAAACTTGTCTTTGCACTTAATGAAAGCAGCTTTGACATTTACAGCCTTTTTATATGGTACTGAGAATAGCTTTCAGATAAAATTGTTTTCTCCATTTTTATTGAGATACATATGTAATTATTTCTGCTGTTTTTCATTTGCAAAGTAAAACCAATATCTAAAAAGAGCAATTAATTCCTGGAAACTTCCATTTCAATAGAGGACGTCTGGAGTGCAAATCCACCATGAATGAAAGGTATTTAAACATATCAGAACTGTTTAGCAGAATATCTAGACGTATATTTTAGTTCTGATTTTTGTTAAGCTGCCATCAGCTTGCTCATAAAAGACTGAAGTATTTTCTGTCACCAATCCATAGTCATCCAATTCAGGTTCTAAATTATCCGAGTAGAATGGAGATCAATTTTGCCACCACATGTACGTTGAGGCTATTTCCCAGAAGACGGTAGCGTTGCTTTATTGATACTTTGTCAGGAAAGCCTAAAATAAAATGGCACAGAGTCATTAGTCCGGGGTTCTCCCTGGCTTTTTGGCTATTCCTTTTTTCAATGAGCAGTTCAGAAATATACATTTCATATATACAAAACCACACACCCCTACAGTTCACAAATTTATAAATACAATTGTACACTACACAACTGCTACTCAAGAGAAAATGAAAAGAGTAATGTAGCCACAGGAGAAAGAAAATAAGATGACTCTACAGATACAATAAAATGCATTTCATTACAGGCTATATATTTTATCTCCAATCTGAGGCCCTCTAACCAGTTATGGAAAACTAAATTAGTCTCACATTGCAAGATACTACCAGTACAGATCAGGCTATGAGGAAGGTTTATTCAGGGAGAGATCAAGCAGCTGAACAATTTTCCATGTAATTCAATGCTGTCCTTGTGGAATGCACTCAGAAATACAGACACCATCAAAAAGTCCTTCACACTGTAAATGCATTGACTGGCAAGAAGAAAGGACAACCAGAAAATGTTAGACTGTTCCAGCTATTGTGAAAGGGCTGTGTTCTGTATTGAATGCGCAATCACAGGTGACCAAGCTTCTGAAAATTAAGAAGTTGCCAACTGGCTGGTCTGCTCTACCCGTCCTTGTTTGCACTCTCAGCTTACTCCAGCTACAAGCTAAAGCATATCTGCAAACTGACTGAAAGATGGAAAGCAGTGGTGAATTGACTGTTATGGTCATTTGCTAAGCTGTTGAAACTCGATCACGTTCAATTATTTGCTCATTCCACAAGAAGAAAGGTGTAACTTTGACCCTGAGGTCATCAGCACCCAGCTTGGCTTTGATGCACAAACAATTGGTGTGAGGAAGGAGTGATATATATATTCTGAAGTTTTCAGAGCACCTCAGAAAAATCCTTGTCCAAGGAGAGCTCAGGAGAGAACATGGCTGGATAGCTGCTGAGCCAAGGGTGGGAAGCTGAGGAGGAGGTGTCTGGAAGGAATTGTTCCATCCTTCTCTGCCAGTTATTAATGCCTTGAATATGGACTGCTTTGGTAAACATGTTTTCTGCCAGCTCTAGCCATTCTGAACAGCTTCTAAGCACTCAAATTTGGGCACCTATTCTTTCCCCTTTGGAACAACCGTTTGCATTTCCCCACACAGACTTACTAAAATAGTTTTCCCATTGTATCACTGAATAAGGTACAGAAACTACACATTTCAGAAGAATATATGAAAATAAATGTGTATTTGTGCACACACATGCACATGTACTTAGAGCTCAAGAAGCTTATCTGAACGCTGATAATTTCAGAGTTTCTCCTGCCTTTTGGCAACTGAAAGCCATAATTCATTTTCAGGACTGTTTTCTTTATCCCAAACCTCCCTCCATCTGCCTGTTTACATTATCTTGCATCTTCTGTCTTCTTGGCTCAAGAGTAACTACATCAGGACACATTTAACAACTCATACCAGAACGCTCGTACTTGTTGCACAGATCTCACCATATCATTTAGGTCTTGCATGTTACTTTGCAATGCTGAAGTCTTGACAACAGGCACTACCACAGAGTGCTGCCACCATTTGTTTCTTAATAGCTTACACACATCGCTAAGAGGAAAAATGGAAAAGGCCTCCTGACATCACCCTCATGAAAGCAGGTCACAGGTGCAAGAATGCTCTGATCGCTTTTAATGACTCTGCTGTGGGACCCATGATTAAGATAAATGATTGCACATTTTTTCATTGACCTATAGTGCAATTACAACTTATACACTGAGATGTTAAAAGCACAAATAAATCTGTTAACGTTAAGACAAGACAATGACTTTAGCTCTCTCTCTCATGTACTTGAAAAGACCATAAATCAGTTAGAATATAGATGCAATTATGCTGCATTTAGACACGATAATGCTTCTTATAACACTGCTGCAGCTAGCAATATGCTGATATCTGTGACAAAGCTTCCTGACATTCCATTCATTTCCATTTTAGCTTTTATAGTTTTCTCATTTGTTAATTCATTCATTTCTTGAACAAATAGTTGCAGTGGGTACAACTCCAGGCTTTCCAACATTGAAAATTTCAGCCAAACTGTTGCTAAAGAACACAGATGCAGTCAAATTACAGTGTATTTTCCTCTGAAAATTCCACACTTCACAAGAATGATTGCAAATTTAGTATAGAAGAAATGCAATCAGTGACATACCCCTTACTGTAGCCTTAAATATAGCAACTTGCAAGTCTTTTCAAGAAAATACAACACGTAAATCCTCAAAAGAAACTTAGAGTAGCTAAATTCACCAGATTCCAATCAGCACAGAGCTGAGTAACACTTTTTTTTTTCCCTCTACATGTACAAAGTGGGAAACATCTAGATTAAAACAAAGGAGAGAAATGTCAGACTTATGACTCGGTGCACTGGGAAAACCTTACTGTGCGTATGAATCAGGATTACATGACAGAGGAAGCCATTGGATACGAGACTTGTTCCATGTGGTATGGAAGTTGGAAAAGTACTATAGTGAAGAAGGGAACTGCAAGAGCTGTAAAGGAGGTTCATTAAGACAGAAGAGTCTAGCAGTATAAGAGCTGTGATCTGTCCCTGGCTGCTGTGCATTTCTTTGGTGACAAGACAAAGTTGCCAAATGAGCACTTCATAGATAGTGACTATCTGGATGCTCCTCAAATTCAGAAGCCTGATTTGTCTTGAGAGTTCAGCTGTGGTTTGCAGAAACATGGAAAGTATCAGCTGCTCCTGAAGATGAGCTCTGAACAGAGAAAGCTTAACATCATTCCAAGTGCTCTGAAACAATAAAGGTCACTCAAACACATGGAGTCATCCAAACAAATCTCTTGCCTCCATTAAATACAAGCAACATTAACTCTAATACACCTCTTAGTGATATTGCAAGGACTGATCCAATGTTTGGAAAACACAAGCTGTTATAAGAAGCACTATATTTAAAAAGAGAGAAAATGGATAATTCTGTTTTCAAAATGAAGCTTAAACATTATTATAAACCTATACATGACAACATAGGCATGTTTAGTTCAAGTTTCTTTACAGCAATGAAAGTCAGTATGGAACTGAGAGATGCTAAGAAAAAAGACAAATCTATTAAAGAAGGGAGGCTATGAAATACTCCTGCATATTCACATCTAACTCAGCATGGCACACTCATGAAAAAAGTACAGAACAAGCAGGCTTAGTGGTGTCAACTCTAATGACTATGCAAACACGATAATGTTGTTTTAATGTAATTTTTTTTATGTAATTGCAGGGAATAATACAAAAAACCCACTAAACATGTGAAAGAAAAAAATATACGCAAACTATCAGCACTCCTCAAAGCTGCTCAGAAAGTTGAACTATATTACAAGTTACTCAAGGTCACTGGTGTCCTGGAAGACTGTATTGCTAAGAGACAATAAATTGATCTGATGTAGTGGCAGCAGACCAAGTTCCTTAGCAGACAGTAACAGGTCCATTTCCTTGTCTTTCTTTGCTGAAGAGCAAAGAAAACTCTGATGCATTTATTGCTGACTTAATTTCAATTGACCTGTGTGCAACATACTAGTATTGCCCAGTCTTGCTCCTTGACTCCCTCGTCTCCACAAAATCAGAAAACAAAGTAACTGACCAAGGGCTAGACTGCCTATTCTAGAAATTAGAGAGGACTTAAAAAATTAGTTGAAGAGATTTGTTACTCCTGAGCAAAGAAGCATTTGTATATTGTGAAGTTATTCCCTTTCTGTTACCAGCTGCAAACGTATGGAAAGGAGCAAGCAGCTCAAATAGTGAGAACTAAGACATCCTAAGCTGGCAGGCTATGTTGCCTGATCAGTTATGGGTAATGTTGGCTGCTGAGTAAATAGTTTCAACTGTGAAACAAAGATACTCCTTCACTGTCATTCAGTAATACAGCACTTTTCATGACAAAAGGGAATTTAGAGAAAAGTCAGCCAATTAGTAAAAACCGATCAGAAAAGCTGAATGGTCAGAAAAAACTTACAAAATAAAATGCACACATTACTCTCAATAAAAAACTACATGAAGTGGGTCCTTTGTGAGCACATACCAAATTCTGGAGGGAATCCATGCAGATTTGCTATTTCTCTTGGAGTAAAATACCTCAGTTTTAGCGTTGACAGTTTCATAAGCTTCTCTTCTTCTGTTAAGTTCTCAATGTGCTTAAACACTGATTCAAGCTACAAAGAATATCCAAAACAACACGTATCAATGACAGAGTCAGAACATGAAATTACGCTGTAACACATCACAACAGAGCATTTCTTTGATTATCACAGTGCCAAAGTCAATTTGAAAGCATATTAACTGTTCTATTTTTGCAGCCAATATCTTAATATGAGCACTGACAAGAACAAAGTCAACGTTGCCATGAAGGAATTCATCACGTCTTCCCCAAGTTTACAAGCCATACCAATACTTAATGAGGCAATCAAAGGACTATAAACATTTGTTAATGACAAAAGATTGACTTAGTATAGCTCAGAAATATCATGCATGTATGCAAGTTAAGTAGTACAGATGCAGCTCAACTGCTTTAATCCATTTGTTTTGGGATTATTCTGAATTCCAAACTGAATTCCTCTTATGCTTAGAAATACCTTACAATATTAGTGAATGGCACAGAAGTGCAGGAGGAAATGTTTGTCTGCTGCTTTTCCCCATGTCAAAGTATCACTTTGTGGTGAATTTAGTATCTACAGCAGAACTTTCCAAAATGTTATATCCTTCCAGATAATAATTTTGACATTCAAAGATTTTAATATTAAACATTTGACAACGCTTACCAGCTCACGTACACAAAAAAAGTCCCTAGAATCACAACTTGGCACTGTAATTTGTCAACAGAATTAGTCAATTTTAATGTTTTCACACTGAAATGTTTTCACTGCGGAATCTCTATGTGACACTACAAATAATAAAATACCAATTCGTTCTCCACAGAGAGAGACACAGGTATATCTTGATTCAAATAAACTGCTGTTTGGAAACTCTAAGTATTTCAGATAGAAACTTAGTTTCCTTAAAAGCATTTTTGTTGTGATATTCAGAATAACAAAGCAGAAGACAGACAAAACAAACTTTAAAACAAGTATTTCTCATATGTTAGTCTAATCATACTTACCTGCACATCTACTGCTGTCTGCAGAACTGAGCCTGTCCCTTCTACATAGTGCCCATACCTTAACAAAAACAAATGAGTATTTTCATTGGAACTTGGCACTAACAATCACAAGGATACAGGATGAACTTCATTTGCTGCAACTAACAAATAGCCTTCTGGACTGACTAAGGAAAAGGCCTTGTTATCAACAATGCTAACTCCTGAAATGCAGTAGCCTCTGAAGATAACCTCTGGGGATGAGTCTGCAATCAATGCACAAGGGTTTAACCACGCTAATGCCTTATATAAGGAAAGTAACTCAAGCACAGCATCATCAGAAAGGCCCATCTACATTGCAAACATTGATTTTACACTAAGGCAAAATATGTCAAAGGCCAAACGGTCCTAGGGTTCTAATTGGCCAACCATATTAAAAGCAGGACCATTAAGCGTGATCCTGCAGCTTTCAATCAATCCATTAGGAACAAAGTAGTTCAGTCAGATTTAACTTTTGCTTGCTTGCAGATTTTCCACAAAGGGAAGGGATGGGGGATGGGCTTCTATGCAGAAAAGCAGAAGAAAGAAAGAAATGAAAAACAGCATCCAACTAAACAGTAAGCACACTTACGCTATAAAAACATACGACAGCTTTTTTGGATACTTTGTGGTTGACTGCATAACAATATGTTTACTCTGTACTCTTTTCCAGGCTATCATTTAAATATAATCATGGGCTTTCAGAAACAAGCTCTGATGGTCTAACAATGATAGCAAATGAATTTACTGAACAGAAAGAGACTGCGAAAGCCAGTGATGGACTTGATTCAAAGTAGAAGAACTTGGAAGATCCCCGCATCAGACACGAGTGGTCTGCATCAACCATTAATATATATTATCCTCAAGTTTTCTCTGTGTAACTGTAAAGACCACTGTGTTTTAAGCCTACTAACTCCACAATGAATAAAGGAGTGATCTGCCTTCATCAAAGACATAATGACTCAATATGACTCAAATCTTGAGAATTTCTTCATCTGGAAATGCTTATGAGTAGTTCTACCAGTATCAGTGAAACCAGCATAAAATAAAGTACATGCAAATCTTATCTCAGATCAGGACAAAGTGACCCAAACACTAACACCACATGAAATTGAACTGTAAACATAACATTTAATTGGTTAGCAGCACTCTGAAAATTCCCTAATGCCACATCTAATGAGGTAAAACACATAGCACTGAAGAATCCTCATCTTACATGGTATCTAATACTATTAGATCTTACTTTGGATGAGTGTATCTGAGATAAAATAAATAAACGAGGATAAATTTCAAAGTGGTAGTTCAGAGTTTTATTGGGGAAAGAGGATTTTTTAAATGTGATACATGTTATCTAATACACCCTAGTCTAAATAACTGTGACTAAAGAACTCACAGAAAAAAATCCAGTTGGTATAGCCAACTAGATTTTAAAATGAAGATTGTCCTACCTTTCCTTTTTTAAAATGTGGACATATGGGCAATGTTAGCTTGAATGTCATTGATTATTACTGCAGTTGCTGACTACAGAAAAATTAACATGCCTACCTTAAACTCAGAACATAATTAAAAATGGGAAATTTTGCCACAGTGAAAAATGATGCATTGATTTTTGGATATTTCATTAGCAGTTACAATGAAAGAAGCAGATGGCTTAAGAAACTGCAGTCCTAAATTTTCACTTGACTGACGATTATTTTCTTACACCCCATCTTTATTTTCTACGCTTTATAAAACGCTCAGTTTCAAACATTCGTATGTTATTTCCTGGTATATTCTGTCATTAGAGAGAATTCCTGTAACTAATATTGCACTATTTCTGAAGGCTGCTCTTGTCAGCATAGCAAGAATTTATGAGTCCAGAATAATTTGAATCAAATAGTTTTCATTTACTCTGTCCTTCAAAATGGTAATTTTCCTCTTTCACAACTTCAGACCTCACTCACAAACACGTTCCTTAGAGAAACCAATGGCATTCGCACACTCAAGAAACTCAGCAGTCATCTTCAAATTGTCCAGGAGCCTAAGCTGGAAGGTTCTGCTCCATCACTCAAACATCACATCTATGTTTTGCCCTAAGCCCCATCAGAGCTTTTTCACGCCCAGAAGACACAGGGTATGATAAAGGCAGAAAGGCAAACAAAAGCACTGATGTAATGTGTTCAAGGTCTCTGAATTAGCAATGATCAGTGTGACTAGTAAGGAAGACACCATACCAGTACCACAGCAAAGAGATTCTCTCTACTGCTCTGAGTACTGCTTTGCTTCATTCAGGGTTCTCTTCCTCAAATCTGATGCTTCAGAAAACTCCTAGACTTCTTACAGCAGTGTTGTACTCTAAGCCTCAGAAAGAGCTCTGGATGAAGACTGAAATGTAATTATAACAATTGTCTTAGTGCTGAGCTGTAAATCATACCCGATATGGTTCTCCATGTGGTCATATCTTTCAATTCTTCGTTCCAAAGCCAGTAAATCATGAGCCAAGAACTACAACTATCCGGCCTGACTCCTCCCACATCATTAAAAAGGCAACAAATACAAATAGAAGAGAGCCTACATTTTTTGACAACTTTAGTTATGAAACAGTTCCCACAATGCTGACTTTGCCATGATCAAAACAGTGAGGGCAGAAAAGACATATCAATGAGAGGTGGAGGAAAGGCTTTCGTGTTGCATGAATTTTGAAATTCTTCTCAGTATTTTTATTATCAAAAAGCTGAAATCACAAAATCTGCAGGAATTCAGTTCATCTGACATTCTAATTTCTACTACTAACAATAAAAAAAACCTTGCTATAATTAGCTTTAATTCATTAACTGAGCATTATTCTGTTGAAACATCTTGAGAACTCAAACACAAACCTCCAGGCTCTAACTGGCACTTTCCAATACCAATGCATTCAGTGGAGGCTCCTGACAGGTTGCCTGTAGTATTTCAAAATGCTCAAAAACATCTGCCAGTCAAACTCAAAATTCCAAAGCATGAATCAGAAAACTACTAGACAGAAAAGCACTAATGTTCTGCTCCATCAAATGTGATTTGTAATGCTGCAACCTAACTGGTTTTATGATATATGGCCAATTCACAGCTATTTTGACCTACACAGCTGAAACATCCAGAAAATCAATAAAATGTACAGTGGAGACAGTTTTAATGAGGAATGGATCTGTCATGCATGACACTTTGTAACAGCAGTGAGCAATATAAAGAAATTCATTAATGAATCAGTACTATACCAGTCTACTGGAACCATATTTCCGCAGGGGTAATTAAGCTTCTGTGAAGGTCAATAACAAATGGCAGTGTCTTTTGTGAATGTGTTTTTCAAGTGGGCACATGATGTTCTGCCAGACAGTCTCATGCTGGCATTCCATTCAATTAGGAAGCATGCTATATAAGGAGGTTTTTTTTTTTTTTTCCCTCAGATGCCTATCTTTTTTTGGTGATGAAATAGCTTTTTTTTCTTCAGTTTTTTAGTACACAAGGGAAAGCACAGTACACAGTCAAAGTTTCAGGACATGATTCAGCAATACACTTTATTTGCAACTTACCCTTTTGTAAAGCATGTGGATCTTCGGCAAGCGGGTTTAACAATGTCTAACAAGAAAGCGTAGCGTACCAAGGACTTGGGTGCTAAAAAATACTGACTCATCTCTTCATTCTCATCTTCCAGGAAATCTTGTAACCTCTGAATAGAGGGATCATTGTCTTGACTATGCTTCCTTACCATTTCTTCTGCTGTTTCAAGCTTAAAAAGAAAGGCCTCTTTTGTCAAGCGTCCATTCTTGCTGCTGCAATCAGAACCAATATTTGAAACTAGACTCTTTTCTCCAGAAGGCAAGGAAGAACTTGCTTTGTCAACAACTTCATCCTTGGACAACTCTTCTAGATTCTGATCTGGGAATCTTGTCAATATCTAAGAAATAAAATTGTGAGAAAGATTAAGTAAGTGTATTTGATAAACAACATGACAGCAGAAACTGTAGAGATTAAGAATTACTTCAGAGATGCAAATAACCATTTGGTGTTATTTTTACAAAGATTAAAAAATAAATAAGTTAGCATTGAGATCAGTTGACCTAACAGCAATGATGATGGAAACAATCGCAAATAGTTGCCTTTACCAAAAGACATTTCCTCTTCAACTGCTTAAAGCCAACTAAGCCATTGATATGCATTTCAGTGTTTAGAAGACACAGCATCCAGACCAAAGAAAAAGAGACAGATTTCAACTTTTCTGTTGATATCTCTTATCTAATCCACTCCTGTCCATACTACTAAACTGAAAATTTAAACTATAATCTTCATTAAATCAAGAAAATTGAATAACAGAAATTAGACTCACCTGACCAGGAACATGAAAGAAAAATGGCTCGTGGTGAAGCTTTGCAATTAGAAAATACCGCAACCTAGAATTGGGAATGCCAAGCTGCAAGCAAAAATCCACAAGTTTTTAGTCCATGTGACAAACGGAGAAGAAATGATCTATAGCACTGTAAAAGTTACCTACTATTATTTACAGTAATAAAATTATTTCACACTAATGCATTTTGCCACTTAAGAGATATCAAAATTAATTGATAGTACCTAAATACTTCTAATGAACCATGAATGTAATTCCCATGCCTAGGAAACATCAAAGAAACAAGTAGGTATTTTTTTCTCATGATTCTGATTTTCTCTGTAAATGAACAGGAACATAAGCAAATTGCTACGTGAAGAAAGAAGAAAAATGCGGCACGCCACTGTTTCCTGGGACGAGTACTGCTTGTTTTTTTTTTTTTTATAAACCAGGAAAAAGGTTTCTCCTTTTGTTACAAGGAACTATAGGACATCCAACAATGAAACAAATGTACCACTGGCTTTCAAGTTACCCTCTACCATGTTCTGTCAAATATATATAGTACTTCACTGATCCCATTTAGTCTTGCACAGTCTGGCACCTCTCTTAATTCTTTTCCGGTTGCCAAGGAAACATGCAAACAGTGCCCCTGCCCCCACAAATGACAATCCTTTTCTGTGCTGGAAAATCACAGGCATCAGCAGTTCTGAAACAATGAGGCTCCTGCAGGGAAACATCATCTTGGTCATGGTTTATGTTCACACCTACTTTAAAAAAACAGTAGCAAAAAATGCATGACTAGGATCACAATAATAACATCAGTAAGACTATGCCAATGTACCAATGAGAAATCGGTCATATCAGATGGCTCTCATTCAGAAGCTCTGGGCACCACCCTCTTTTCTAACACATCATTTTCAGATGTACTTGGACTCAGTGTTGTTTGAACAGTTAAATAATCTTAGAATAAAATTAATACTCACACAGGTTGGAGACAAGAGAAATTCTTGATATTTAAATCCACATGTTTCTAGCGTTCGCAGAAGTTCATTTCTGGCAGTGAGAAGAATCAAGAAGCAATTACGCCCTTCATAAGATTTTATGTTCTTTTTATCCTAAATAAAAACACATCAAATGTAACACCTTAGGTACTGAGATTTCACATTCAGTGAAAGAATCAGACAGAGAATTACAGTGTAATGTAACCCATTTCTGAACTTATAGAGACAGCATACAAAATGCAGTGTTACTGCAGCTAAAAATGATCACTACAAATTCACAAGTACCTAACACCTACTTTGGTGCAAACACCCCTTCAAAAATATTCCATCTCTAGAAGTTTATATCTCCAGGTGTGTGTGCCAGCAAGGAAAATAATAAGAGAGCAAAACTTCCTCTTCGTTGTGAATTATAAAACTTGACACTAAAATCAACACAAATGGCTCACTGTTTCCCTCTGTTCATGCATATGATATCAGCTAAGCTTAATAAAATGGTTAAGCCAAAAATTTGTGGATTTGACAATAAAAGCAAGCTTGGACTGTGCTCTGCAAGCATAAAAAAAATCACTGATATCGGAGTTTTCCTGAAAAGACTTGCCTTTCCTATTCCATGAAGGCTATATATATGCAGGCTATATATAAATCACAAACTGTGACCCACTATCTGGCACTGTACACGGCACTGCATCCCAAGAGAAAGCAAGCATTCTGACCAGAGTGTTTTCTGAGTTACAAACTGTTTCAAACACTGGCCAGCAAGGAGCAGCCTTAGGAATCTCAGGCTCTCCAGGAGCAATCCAAATCTCCAATGGCACTGCTGCATTTAATGCTAAATGTCTCCCAGCTGCCTGCCACATGCATTAAGAAGCATGAAGAAGCTGGCTGCTCTCCTGTTGATTTAAGAAAAGTAGGATCTTTTCCTTGCATTATTTCCAGCAAGAAATGAGAAAAGATGACTAAATCCCTGTCTCTCCACAAGTGAGGAAAATGGTCCTGCTGTCATTAAGTAGTCTTATCAGCAACTTTCCTCTTCCATATTTCAGATAAAAATTATATGCAGATTTCATATTCTCTTTGTGAACCATTTTATAGCAACAGTGAATCAGTGACAACATACCATCAACAGAAGCACTGAAGAAAGCTACTGCATTCTATTGTGATCTCAGCACAAGATACCAAAAGCTCCTGTCATGGGTAAAATCCAAAAACACTCCTTGAAAAAAAACATTGTTCCTTTGTAAAGGACACCAAGTCAAAGAAAAACAGCAGAGTCAAGTTCTAGTCTGTTTTATCTGCTTAGAGAAATAGTTATTTATCAAGTTCCTTTTACAAGACCTTAATTCCCAAATTAAAACAGTAACTTTTACCTACAGCTGCTAACTGTGCCATCTCACTATTTTCTTCTCTTAAATTCTAGGAAATAAAAATCCTGCCTTCTCCTGAGGAAAATCTCCTTTATTAAAAAATAAACCATGTATAAGTTAGACTTTACCTTGCAGAAGAAGATTCAAACCCTTTAACATTTTCTAAAAGTAGGTATTTTGGAAGCTTCTGGAGCCTAAAAGAAAGAAGAAAATATCAATAGATCACAGTTGCAAGAAGTAAACTGCATTAGATTTATCTACATACTTGTTTAGCTACAAGATCAAAATATTTCTATACCACGCTAGTCCATAAAAAGATGTACCTCAAGGTCACATAGATCGAGTAATTCCCATACGAATTGTTGGTAATTCCAAACAACAACAAAAACCATTTTCATTCAGATGGACTGCTGTACCCATCTGCATCCCACACATGTTTTTTTGAAAAACAGCACTGTTCATTTCCTAAAGCACATTATTACTACTCAAAGATTAAGTCTGTAATAGAAAAGAAAATTAAAGGGGATGAAAAATACTACAATTTACCCATGGAATAGAACACTTTATTTATTTTAAGTACTTCAATCTTAAATCAATGTTAAAATACCATATCTACATTAGTGGCAAAACATCAAAGTCAGTATTCATTTAATTGCTTTAACAAATACTACATTTAGAGTTCAAACTCCATATACTTTCAATTTGCTGTACTTATTTCATTTTCATGAGAAGGGAAGGAGAAGTAGCTGAGATTAAGCAACATCAGTGCAAAGGTCTGGAAATTCCAAAACCAGCTTATTAAATCTCTGGAGAAAGAAACATACCAAAACTGTGCCAGGGACCATTTTAACAATTTAAAACCATGAATGATTCAGATTCAAGTGACTAGGAACATGCATTGGAACTAATACTCCAGTAAGACTAACATAGATACACAACGTCTATCACATACAAGACCTCAGAACAGTGTACAGGAACGGAACATTAATGCCAACAGACAGTAATTCCAGGTTTATTTAAGTCGGGAAGTGATTTCAGACTGGACTGATGTAAATCACAGCAGAATTTGTTTTGGCAAATTCCAAAGTATCATCAGTTACAGAAATTCACATGAATAATTCCAATGTTTGACAAGAAATTTGAAAATGTACAAATACTACAGCAAATACGAAAATACTGAAAATAACATTGAGGTGGAAAAAAAAAAAAGCATCAGCCAACCCCTCTGGGCAGGAATGGAGAACGTATCTGTTGGTATGTTTACCCATACTCAACATCACCATCACCTACTGTGAAACTTATTTTTGGAGTAATGAATCCACAGCAGAGCCTGAAGCGCAAAAGCTCATACAGGATCAACATGTCACAAGGCAAATAATCACTACACAAAGAGCATGTGTTAAATACTTGGCAGGTTTTAATATCACTAACTTCTCTGTAAAATTAACAAACATTGAAGTCTTAGTATTAGATTTCCCTGGGTTATGGTTTGGATACAATAAACAGACAGTATCTGGCCCATTTGGACCAGCCTTTGTGTTCACTGGCTGGGGGCTGGAAAGATTTCCCAGGTGTTTCCAGATCTTGAAATTGCCTTCTCTGTGCCTTTAATATTTGCCTCCTTAGGCTATCTTTGAGCCCCGTTTCAGCCACATTTTGTTGTAAAAGGCAGAACATAAGGTAGGAACAGCCAAGGAATGAAAAATTTTTCTATAGTTTCCACAAATTGAATGCATGCTGTATCAATTTTGAATGCGAAGTGATAGTTCCTATATTAAGAATTTCCCTTTTTAGGGCTGAAATACTCCCCACATAACGTCTGGCAAACATGTCTTCTTCAAAATATACACAAACACTATCTCAGTAAAACATAAATCTAATGGAACCAAGAAATTAAGCAGAAGTTAGCATCTTGAACACAGTACAGACAGCTTACAGTAACTACTGGCCTAGCAACAACCTGCGTAAGGGTGATAAGGGAAGTCTCATGGGCTGCTGAGATAAAGTGCCACAGCCAAGCCCAGCTCTGCATCACCATGACAAAAAACATGTCCTGTAGTGTCTAAAGCATTGGTTTTGGGAAGGAAAAGTCTCTGCCCTTTATCCAGTTAAACTCACAGCAACCAGGAAGAGACACTTCCATGCCAATGCACAACAGTGTCACAATGGCAACCCTATTCTTAACTGCATCTCAGTTTAATGACAAGGAACAGATAGGTCAGGATTTCCTTAAGGATAAAGACACTATAATTTTGACAAATGTATACTACCTGATGTTTTTCATTTGTCATTTTGAAAGATCAGTCATGAGGAGAACTTACTTTTTTTTCTTCTTCAAAAAACACGTCTTCCATAATTTTCTGAGACTCACGATATTTCTCTGTTGTTTTTTTTTTTGCCTCTACTAGATGTGGAGGAGAAATAATATTCTTCCTTTTTACCTATTATTTAGCTAACTTACTGGGCTACAGAAGCTAGTGAAATGGTTGTTCTGTGTCACAGATTCAACAGGTGATCCCAGTCAAGCCACTCAGCCTTTCTGTGCCTATGTCCTCTACCTGCTGATGACAAGGGCAAAACAGCGTTTTCCCTAATGCTGACAGCTGTAAAGCTGGTTCTGGAAGAAGAATGAAGAAACTTACTCCAGTGCTAATAGTAAATTGAAAGAAAAGAATACAGGAGTATGGTGGTGGGAAGAGAAATACAGACAGTCCTCTTTTCCTCCTTCTCCTCTTCTGGAAGTAAGATTAGCCAACAGGAGAATACGGAGTGAACAGCTGTCCTTGTTTATGATGAATAAGTGTCTGGTGGATCGTAACTCATGCAAATTTTCAAGCTGATGCCTAACAGACATCTCAATCCAAAGGCAGAGAGTTCTGCAAAATAAATCCCTCTGAACAACTCCTTGCTTGCTCCATTCACCTACAAAGGTGCTTAAAATGCTATGCATCTCTTCCCAAAAGAGACTACAAACATTACTTGGAGCTGATATTTAAAACTCTTAATATGAACAATTTATGTCAGCAATAAATACTTTGTTTGAATTTACTGTTCAAATTTAATATATGAATACCACAAACAATTAAGGGCTTTTTATTAGGAACCAGAGTCATGCCAGACAAAAAGAATAGGTGAAGACAAAAAAAGAGCACTGCTCAGACAGATCAATGTTATTTGAAACTTTCTGTGTTACTAGTCAAAACAAAAGATTGTATTACAAACCAAAAAATACAGTCTGCTATAAGATAGCTAGAAGTAGCACCAGAAAGACAGAAGAAAGACAGAAAGACAGAACAGACACTTTAAGAAAGAGAGGAATGGGAAAGAGGACATATTGTATTGTGCAGCCGATATCACGCTTTAACGAAGTTTTCAAAATGTTACTTAATGACATTAGTAAAATGTAAGTATAAATTATTTTTGATCATATGAAAACAAATAAATAATACAATAAAATATTAGCAGTATCCCTGCAGAACATCACAGATTACTTACAACACAAAATAACTACTTAGTAACACCAAGGGCTTAAGAGTTGAGGTGGAAGTTAACTTGTACCTTGGGAGAATATCAAGAATATAAAGAAAGCTCTTTGTCCGCGGATCAGATACATCACCTTGTAGGCCAATTCTACAAAATAATAAGGAAACACTGCATTTTACTTGGAGCACACTATTATTCGACTTACATTTTTCTACAGAATGCTGGCACTTTTTACTGCAAGTTTTGAAAAGAGATTCTGCAAAATCATCATGTCCAGACATGAGGCAGTATCCTATGAAATGCTATCAGGAATGAGTGTGACCTGAAATCCATCACAAGGTTAACACATTCAATAATGAAACTCACACCCCAGTGTGCACAGCATTAGCATTATGGTCCTAGACAGTAAGAAACTCCTGAAGGAACAACAAAAGCAACAACAACAAAAAAAAAGCAGCATTTGGGAATAGCCAATTACTTTATACTGAATATATTACATTATCCAGACAAGTTAAGATTACAGTGCTCACCATTTTGCAGGATTGATCCTGCAAAACGTGGATAATTTTGTAACCAATTTAGTGCTATTGAACTGGATGGCTCATTTACCTTACAATAAGGAGAATAATTGGATAATGAATGCAGGCCTTGGTTTCTATAACTTGTACTAGTTGTTTAAAAGACATAAGCCTTGTTAGAATTTTAGCATGTTTCAGGATTAATCAGTCAAACACAGTCCATTCTTTTCATTACATTACAAAAAAAAAATGTATTTATAGCAAAGAGAACTACATTTCCTAACTATAATTATGTAACTATATTACAGTTGAGAGAACCTCTTCTCCAACAACCACTGCTGTCAAACTAGTTGCATTTGTAATAAGTCTTACAAATAAACTCCATTGTTTAAAAACTGAAATTACTAGAAGATATTTCTCTATGTCATCCACAAAATCATTTCAAAGCCAACACAACATTTTGAAAACATAATTTGTGTCTATATGCAAATACTGATATACTTCTCTTGGCTAAAATAGGAACATTTGTCAGAATAAACCGTGTGCACGTGCAATTTTCAAAGTACTTACAAAATTCTTATTAAAGAACAGATTCCAATCTTAATCACACGCAGAAGAGAGAAATTTCAGTTCTCCCTCTGAAGCCACCCCACTGAAAAATCAGACTGCTAATTTAAGGGAAATGAAGCAGTTCTAAATGCAGACTTAGTAATTCCACTGTCAGACAGACGGTATTGTGTGCAGAACAGGTGCTTTAAGCAGTCCAATCAATTTTAACTGAATTAAAATATATATACAAAGTATCATCAATAATTAAAATTCAAATTCCTGCATTTCTTCCAGTTCAGTAGAATCTCGTGGTGAACACAGCCACATAATGGTTGCTTAGGAAGATAAAGCTATACAGATGGGCCAAACACCATAACATGCTTGAAAACATTTATTCTTTAACAGTATAAACAGTAAAAACTGCACTTTACTCAAAGGGCACTGTATCTACCTTGTAAATGGCTGGCAGGGAGGACTCATCAAAATCATATCAAAAGATAATCTGTCAAATTCTTTCAGTGTAATGCCCTGAATAAGGGAAAAAGAAATATAATAATGTTTAGTGCTGAGAACTGTAAAAAAACTATTAAACCAGCCTTCAGACAGAACTACCCGGTTACATCCACCATTTGTTCCATCAAGTAAAAAGCTCCCTAACTTCCCACTTAACCTAATAATTCCATTCTTTTCTACCTCAGCAAACCATACAGAGCAAATATGCAGCCTTGAAAATGAACCCAAGGCACCAATGATACCAGCATCTATACATAAAACTGAGTTTTTTATTTAATCGCTTTCTTTCAGTAGATCTTGATTAAAAGATGTTAAAAATATATATATATTTGCTTAATGACAGTTTCTGAGATATGATAAATGCTTAGATTATAATCCACGATTTCTAATTCATCATGCATACAACATAAAAAGCTGTATGTGGCATAGCTTTCAGTTAACCTTAGACAGATGTGTTCTAACTCTCAGGAAGTCATTTCCAACACATCCTATGAAATTTACTCCATTCTAGTTTTTGCTGAGTAAAAATCACTGAGAGCTGTTTCAGGGCTGAAAGCAATAGTCTGCAAAAGCATTTCTGTTCAAAGAGGAAAGACTGTGGCACAAACTAATTGCTTGGGTGTAAGTTCTCCTATATTAAATTCTAACAGCAGGTCAGTATATTAAGGGGCCAAGAGGAGAGAAGGATCCATCAAATAACTATAAATGAGACAATGAAATCACTGCTTTCAATATTTTGCAGCATATCTATAAAGTGTAACATAACACAGAAACTAGACAAATTTTCCTCTGTTTTTCAGTAAATTTAAGGAAGGTCTTACTGACTGTGATCTGCTCTTCCCTACAACAGGAAGATACAGGCAATCTTTCCTCTTCTTTTCCCACATAAAACTGTAAACTGTTATTAGTCTGCTATTACTGAGTGCTGAATAAGCAGCTAACCTTTAGCCACCTTACTTAAGCTGATATGTTAAAACAAATTCATTATGTTACTGTCATGTTGTAAAACTACAAAAGAAGATTAAAAAGTACACAGTAACTTCTGCAGGTAAAATCCCATATCTAGTTTGCCCCTCTGCTATTTTAATAAGAGACAACTGTACCTATTTCTTCCCTAATAATTTGGTAAAGAGACAGAATTCCTAAAGCATCTGACCTACTGCGGCCACAAAGAAAATGCAAGACATCTAGTATATTTTCCTGTGTTTTACTCAGATCAACTATAATTACAAAGTGATGGCATGACTCCAACAGATTTAATGAAATTCTCTTAAAACACTTGAAAATATTTTTTTTAATCTAAAAATGTGATTTTTGTCATTCCTTTAGAGCTGGTAAGCATTCCACATGACACTCACATAACCTTCCTTAATGCAGCAATCAAGACTTCCAGGAAAAGATCTCATTGTAAGTATCCATCTGCTTCAACAAGCAAATACAGCACACTAAATGACAGTTATTGTAAAACTGCTGTTCCCCTAACATCAATAATTAAGTCTGTCTGTTTCTCTTTGATACTAATACGGATAGGAAGTCAATCAACTTCTAGAAATGTCAGGCTAGAATGAAAAAAGTCATTACTCACCTCAATTGTCTTTGCCCATAATGGTGTGCTGGGAAAGTTGTGTTTATAAACTTCATTGGCGAGAGTGTTCACATCCACAGCAGCAACAACTTCTGCACACACACAGCTTTCTAAAATTAAAATAAAATAAAATTGAAAATCATAGATTCAATTTTTTACTCTTGAAAATTAATTTTGTTCAGTTGTATTACAGCTATGCTCAAAAATAAAAGAGAAATGACAAAATCAAACTCTGCTTTGTTGCCTTTAAAACATTATATGAAATATAGACTGTTACTAATCGGATGGCCAAAACTTCCCTCTCTTATATATCCAAAAAGGGAAGCTAACTGTGCACTTCTTAATTTGTAGATACAGTTGCACATAAATTCTGAACAGATTGTATCCTACAACGTTCCCACCCACAGGCATCCTCTGTGGTTTCCTCACTATAGGAAGGCAGTCCAAGTCAACCTGCCGAGTCCCACAGCAGCTGCCTGCAGCTCTCCAGCCACGACAGCTTACAAGATACGTAATTTAGTGCTTCTCTGCTCTAGAGAACTAGTGTACCTCTAAAATATGTCTGAGATATGCATACTGCTGCAGTAAAACTTTAAGAAGGTACCTGAAGAACTTCTGTGTGCATATTCCCCATAACAACTTGGATCTCAAACCCAACTGCTGTCTCCTTTGGTTCCAACGCCCCAGAAATACCAAACGTTTTGAAGGACATTTGGCAGATCCTGATCTCTTGATATCAGATAAAGCATTCTGGGACACTTATAGTCATTATTGGAGGAAAACACAATAACAAGCCTACTGAGAGCTAAGAAGTATACTACTGAGCATGGTTAGTATAAAAGAACCCTACAGAAACTATAAACACTCAAAAGAACAGTATTTAATCTGCTGCTCTTCACACTATTCATTATTTTGAACACTATACCCTCAGTGAGGCTTTTTGTTGGAAAGATAGGCTGCGGTGACTGTTAGACCTGCAGGCAGAGAACAGCCAGCCTGCTTATTATGATACACAACACCAACTTCAACCACCAGGAAACCTACATCATGATCACCATCACAAAGCCCCCATTGAAACATGAGCCATTTTAACAAGGCTTGAGCAAGCCAAAAGAAACAAGGCAAAAAGCCATTTGCCTTCAGGTAGTCTCAGAGCATACTCAAGTGACACATTAACAAATGACCTTATGAGACATCTAACAAATTACTGTGACCCAGCTAATTATTTACAGTTTGAAAGAACAATTATATAATTTTGAGCGATGCAGTTACCACCCATCTACTATCTTTTGCCATGCATGTTTTCAAGGCAATGCTATTCAAATCTAAGATGAAAGAGAAATCTGAGTATTGCAAAGGTTGCAGTAGATGCCTTAATAAAGATCACTGTAGTTGTCCTGAGTTTATGGAATGCAGTATGTGGCAAGATGAGCAAGAGTTTCTACAAGAAAAAGAATTAGGGACAGCCCACTAAGGACAACACATAAATTATTATTTGCAGTTACTGTGTTGATATTGTGATCATAAATTGTAACCAAACTTAAGTACAGGCGTACTCATATGGACACCTACACCTGAGATTACAATACACCTGAGTGCCTACACCTGAGATTACATAACAGGTACGTTAACACTGACATCTAGTGTGAAAAGAGCATCACCTTTGCAGGTCATCGGTCAAAACTAAGAAACAAAGTCAAGAGCTCATACTTTTCCCTCCCCAAAACAAAGTTACAACTCCTAAGCAATGGAAACAAACTTCAAGCACTGTTTAAGAGACTGCTTTTCTTTTTTATTCTCTCAGTTTTCAAAAACACATTCTCCTGACAAACAGATCCCTACTGAGTGTTCCAGGCACTCCAGAAGAAAAAAAGAATATCAAGAATTTCAAGTTATTATGTAAATTCACACACAGTTTAAAAACAGTTGGAAAGCAGGCAGTGTACTTTCCCTTGCAACTCATGATTCAGATGTTCGTCCTTTTTACTAACCTCAACTCAATCTCTTCTTTCATATACGCAAAAAAGAAATACCTGATTACTTTTTCAAAGCTTCTCTTTTCCACTCAATAATTGTGGCTCACTTTGGAGCTCCTGTTACAAAACAGACTCCCTCTAAAGCTGATTAAGTGTATTTTTTTGTGTGTGTGGAAATACCCTAGAAACGCATGAAGGACCTTCAAGCAAACAAGCAGATCTCACACATCAAACCTAACAAAGAAAAGCTTGTGCAGATTTCACACAATGTGAAAATGAAACAATTTTAAAGAACTCTTCTCCTGAAATTTAAATAATTTTGATGTTAAACTGTGATACTCAATTTTGCTATGACAATTCTACATATTATTTGAAAGTAAGTGTAAGACGACACCATAACAAGACTGAGAGCAATCTGCAAAAACATAATCGAGATTGTGTTGAGCTGTCTCCACTGACAAAAGGTACAAAATCAACTCAGAAATATGAAAAAGCCCCCGAACTGCTCAATTAGCAAGATATTGGATGAGCCCCACAGAACGTATAGCAGAACTTTCATATTGAAACATAAATGGATCTAGATGTTTAAAAAAGAAAAACAAAACACCAAAACAAGTGAAAAATTCAAAATATAGCCATTAAGAGAATTGCACCCCTGCGGAAAAGAATTCAGTTTCAGGCAGACTAAAGAAAACACACATTTTCCACATGACACAGATTAGTTGCTGGAATATTTGATTTGCAACACTCCTCCTCAACAAAGCCCTCAAAACAAAACCGTGTGTTTCTGAGAGAGATGCCAGAGCTCAAAAGGAAGCCACAGGCCACAGGGAAGGTAGTGAGGGAGGTCTCACAGCCTATTTTTAGTCTTCTCGACTGAAATCAGGTGAACTCAAAGTTCTATCACATTGATTTCACACTTGAGTTTTAAAACCTCTTGAATAAGCATACGAGAAGCTCTGTCACTTAATATTTAATTAAGTTACAGAGGCAATGACCAAACTTCAGGCCACAACAGTGTGAAAAGGATGCTGCGGCAGTGACTGAAAGGTGTGGCATCTGAAACAAAGACAGGCAGGATGCCTGCTTTAGCTTCTGATTTGGAAAAAAAAATCAGTCCCAGAGGCGTCATCTTCAAACTCTGAAAATAAAAATTCTGACATTACTATATTTGTCCTTTTCCACTGCAGAAGTATTGATCCCTTTTGTCATGCAGACCTTAAAATTAGCATGGATCTGTTTATATTCATCCTTCTACTTATGTACTGAACCCATCAATGTCAGACAGCACGGTGTTACACCAAGGGCACAGCCTGGCAGATCCCACTGCGCCGCAAAATCAGAGTCAAAACAATTATCTACCCTAACAGGTATATGGGAACAGATGGAAAAAGGAAGATTAGTCACATATTGTGTCAGTTCTGTTTCCCTTTCAAACAGACAGCAAAGATTTCATTTCTGAGCTGTCGGCTCGTGGCCTAAACGATTAGGTGGAACCGTCTGTGACTGCAGTTAACACGATTATCAGCAAACCCGATACTCGCTTCCTGCAGGATACTGAGCAACTTTTTTCCACTGCTCCATTTGTACTGGCGTTGCTCAGCTCAGCCGTAAAAAAAACGTAAATTCGCACTGCAGCACAACTGGCACCATCACGTGCTACAAAGCGCTATATTTTAGGGAGCAACTAACATCAGTGCTAAAGGGCACTCAAAACAGCAAAGTTTTTGCACTGTGCTGAATGTTGTGGCTGCTGGTCGGCGTGTTCTCCTTTTTCCCTCCTCCTGAGATAGCTGTGCTACGTACTTCACTATGCTGTGCAATTCACAAGAGTTATTAAATACAGTTAATAACATCAAGCAGAGATGAGAGGCTACAAAAGAATATTCCTATGCTCAAAAACCATTGCTACCTTCACAGCTGCAAAATGACAGTATTTTTTAAAAATTGCTCCTTCATATTTTATGCTCAAAGAGCTTCTTCATGACCTGGCAGATTATAAATGCTTGAGGCAGAGACCTGCAATACATTTTTTTCATGGGAAAACTGCCTACATTAATATGCCATTTTAAGTTTGTTTTGGTTGGGAATGAGTTAGTGCAGACTGTTTGTTTGATGGAAAGTTGCTAAGGAAATAAGCTGAAGCAAGAGATTTCCTAAAAATAAAACATTGTATTTTTCATTGCAGAAACCCTGCACTTTGTACACAGCCAAAGCACTCATATATACGCATATAAAATATAATAGGTTTAGACATACACAATCTAAACATCAACCTTCGCAATCCTTGCAATGCTTGGAGCATAGGATGGAAAAAAAGAAAAACATTCCCATCTCTTTGCTGCCTTGAATCTTCAAGGGAGAGAATATGAACTGACTCAATAACTTCTGACCTTAATCAAGCTCAACTTTCCAAGTTTGGTCTCTCTGCATGCCTTCACTGTTAAAATTCAGATATTGCTATAAATCTGAAACTAGGAATTCTGCATATGTTGGATTATCTACAGGTAAAGTATGAGCACAGAGCTAGGCAACCTTCAAGATTTTTCTTCTCCGCTTTTGGACCAAAATCTAAATTCATGAATAGCCCTTCCATTGGCAAAAAGAACCTGATCCAACTACATATTAATAATTTGTACATCAACAGTATGTAGCAACAGAAGGAAAGTGGGATACAAACTTTCACTCATTTCTTAAAAGTCAGCTACTTTTTAGTGTAGGTGAGAATAATCTTGAAACCAATTGTGTTCTACTTGTTTCAAATACATTCTACTTTAGTGACAACTGCCAAAACAACGAACATCCTCATCCTGCAAACTCAATTATATGCTACCCTAAAGTAAAGTTTATAAAAGAACACAGCCAAAAATGACATCCAAGTAAAAAAAGACAGCATCAGATTTCCTGGAAAATAACTATTTGCCAATTAAAAATGCTGACAAATAGGCAGAAAAAAAAAAATCAAGCAGGACCAGTGCTGCTGAACATAACTGGCCCAAAAGCTGCCCATGTAACACAGCCAGTAACCAACACTGAGCTAAGCTTGCCAGAACTGCACAATCCCTGCTGTAGAACAAGTAGCTTTCCTGGAGTGGCTGCACTCAAGTCTTCTATGTTCTCACTCTTTTCTAAAT